AACAATTTTGGAAATTGTTAGAAGTATGAACTCGAAAATTGGTAGTTTTATGTTTTTTGGTATAAAAATTACGAATTTGATACTGAATTTGGCACTATCTGTACAGGGCGTTTGTTACAATTTGGTACTTCAGTAAATCACAATACCTTTTTTTTGTCTAATGAACTATGGCTAAAGTGTGACAAAAATCTAAAATGCAATTCACTTTTACACAGAAAAGGTACTATTGTTTAATTAATCTAACTCTACCGATTTTTGAGTTATTTACATTTTAAACCTACAATGTAAAATAACCTTAGTCACCGTTATTGCTTCCATTTTTTTCAGGTAGGGCACATGTCAGTTTTTCGTGTCAACAAATATTTGACAATTTTGTGATAAGTTAATAAGACTGTTCCTCTCTTTTCTTAATTTAGTAATCATTTGTAGCAAAAGCTCTATGTCAAAAAATACAACGACATAATAATTTTTGATTTGCGTTTTTTGCTCAATCAAATTTTAGTGGATTTGGTGCAAACAGAAGGTAGTTACAATTATATCCAAATCTAGGACAGCCCAATCACAAACTTTCAGAAATATTTACAACCACCTAGGGAAAATAGGGTATTTTTGTCACAATGACGAAAAGTCACAATGGTGCTACAAAAACTATCAATATCGATAATGAAGAAGAGGTTTTAGTTCGTATTTTGAAAAACTCAAATCTGAGTAGCTACTCGTCGGTTAAGTGCGGCAACAGGGATAAACCAATCGTCTATCTAGAGAATTTTAAAGAAAGACAATCTCCGTCCATATCTTTATACTCCTGTCCAATATTTGTTACCTCAAGATTTACCAGCTCGCTTACAATTTGCTCAGTTTTTACTAGATAAACAAATCGAAAACCGAGAATTTCTTAATATCCTTTTCACGATGAAGCGGCTACTAGACAAGGTGTTCTTAATTAGAAAGACAATAATTTGTGGGAATCCCATAATCCACATGCTCTAAGACATTTTCAGCATTAATTCAAGGTAAACATTTTTTGTGGTGTGATATCTGTTTTTTATTGGCCCTTTTGAACTCTCTCCTAATCTGAATGGACCTTCCTATTTGAACTTGCCCACTCTCCTAGAAGATCTACCACTAGCCATAAGACGAGATATGTGGTTTATGCAGAATTGGATGCCACCACATTTTTCTCTGCCAGTGATCCAGTAGCTACATAAATGAACATTTTCCTCACGGTGGATTGGCCATGGAGGTTAATTTGTTTGGCCCCGAGAAGTCCAGATTTAAACCCCCTGGACTTCTCAATATGGTCACAAATGAAGGAAATGGTTTACACAGAAAAAATTAATTTTAGTTGGCACAAAAAGTTCAAGATGCCGTTGATGCGATTAAAAATAATAGACACATTTAATTTAATATCCAAAGATCTTGCAAAGTGGACGGGGGACATTTTGGGTGTTTTTTCTAAAGTTTTCTTTTATTATTGTTTCTATTATTCTTATTTGTTGTCTTTGTTGCTGTTACCCCGCACACTTGCAATTTAAAAGAATAAATATTTTATAAAAGCGCAATACATTGTACGTTTAAAATGCAAATAACTCAAAAATCGATAGAGCTAGATGAATTAAGAGTACCTTTTCTGTGTAAAATTGACCTGCTTTTTAGATTTTTCACTCACTTTAGCCATAGTTCATTAGACAAAAATATGTGTTCTGATTCACTGGAGTATTAGGGTGTAACTAACGTCCTGTGCGGGTAGCGGCAAATTCAGCATCAAATTTGTAATTCTTATATCAAAAAACATAAAACTACCAATTTTCAAGTTGATTCTACTAAAAATTCCAAAATTGTTGAAAAATTTCAAATGAAAATTTTGAAAATCTCGTAAACCTGCAACATTTGTTTTAGGCATGTTAAGCTGAATCATCATATTTTGGCGTGTAGTATCTCCAGTTTAAAGATTGCCCAATCTTAATGAATCACTCTGGACCTACATAATATACTATTATATGACTATTACATACTGGCAAGAAGTAATTTTCAGTAAAAATTCTTAAAGACTGAAGTAATTTGTTATTCAAAAAACCGGCATCATTGTACTTAAATACAGAATTTTCCTAGATTAAAATTTTAAAATTACAACGTTTCAGTTACTTTATTATACAAAGATTGAAGGTAAATTGTTAAACTGAACTGTCATACTGCATAAATTTAATAATAAATTTTGGTAAATAAGCTTTAGGAATTTAAGCTATGATATGGGAAAGAGTAATTTAAAATAGAATTGAAGAACCAACAAACAAAATTTTTTAAATGAATCACGGTCTACAATATATTTTAAAAATAGTATATATTGACGAAATAGATAGCTAGTAGGTAGCGGCATTTATTTTTTTGGTGGATGGAATTTTGTAAATGTTTGTACTGGCATAGCATATATTTATATTAAAAGACAATATAAAAAAATACAATAACTGTTTGCTGCTATAAATGGTGTACAAAATATAACAAATTGATATACGAGTACAATATACAGGGCGATTCATTAACAATGGGAAAATCGAAAGCTGAAGATACTACACGTGAAATGGTGACCATTGGCGCAAACATGCCTTATCCGAAAGTTGAGTTTCGGAAATACAGTGTGTTGAAAGTTAAAATTTTAAATCGTTTTTTGCGATTATTCTGAAAATATGTAGGTTAGGAACTTGAAAATTTGTGAAACTATATTTTTTTAGGCGACGAATAAGATGCGTGTTGTAATTTCAGCATTGCTCATAGAGGGCGCCACTTACGACCAATTTTACCGAAAATTTAGTTAATAACTTTTTACCCTGTATGTCTAACATGAAACTTGATTCAAAACCTGAAAGAGCAATCATTTTTCCATTAATTATGTATTCTTGTTTCATTTCGGTATCTCGATCCGTTTTCGAGAAAAATCGATTTAACGAACACTATGTTTTGATAATACGAGAAATTAAAAGCGAAACAAACCAAGTGTTTCTTCGTGTTATTACAACAATTAACAATAAAACAAATAAATAGATTCTTCCAAGTAGGAAAATGAAGAGGATAGAAGTCTGGACTTCTGGGTGGCCAAGTAAAAATGCTTTCACGGCTTGAAGAAGTTCCACTTTACTTAAGAAGAGACATGTGGTTCATGCACGACGGAGCTCCACCGCATTTTTCTTGGCCAGAGCGTTCATATTTAGATGCAGTTTTTCTAAATCGCTGGATTGGCCATGTAAGCATTTTTGCTTGTCCATCCAGAAGTCCCGACTCTAATCCTCTTGACTTTTCTATTTGGTCTCGAATGAAATATATATTTTACAAAGAATCTCCCGGCTCGTGTGAAGAGTTGTGGTAAAGAATACAAATCGCTGCCAACGAAGTCAGACGCAATTCCAATATGTTGTTTCAAATTCGAAGATCTCTCAGAAAACGTGTAAAGTGTATCAGTGTCAACAGTGGATTCTTCGAACAATTACTTTAAATCATAATTGCGTATTTTATTTGTTTTATTGTTAATTGTTGTAATAACAGGAATAAACATGTGGTTTGTTTCGCTTTTAATTTCTCCTATTGTCATAACATAGTGTTCGTTAAATCGATTTTTCTCGAAAATGGATCGAGATACCGAAATGAAACAAGAGTACATAATTAATGGAAAAATGATAGCTCATTCAGGTTTTGAATCAAGTTTCATGTCAAATATACAGAGTAAAAAGTTATTAATTAAATTTTCGGTAAAATTGGTCGTAAGTGGCGCCCTCTATGAGCAATGCAGAAATTACAACACGCGTCTTATTCGTCGCCTAAAAAAATATAGTTTCACAAAGTTTCAAGTTCCTAACGTACATATTTTCAGAATAATCGCAAAAAAACTATTTAAAATTTTAACTTTCAACACCCTGTATTTCCGAAACTATCATCTTTCGGATAAGGCATGTTTGCGCCAATGGTCATCATTTCACGTGTAGTAACTTCAGCTTTCGACTTTCCCATTGTTAATGAATTACCCTGTAGAATAAACTTTCATGTTACTAGAAACAATAAATTCAAAATATGTAGTATATCTTCTTCAATAAAAACAAACTTTGTATGTACTTTAAACTTCTACCAGCTCTTTCATGCTACAAAACAAGAACTATTGAAACATAAATCAAAGAACCTCATAAATATGTAGATACTGCGTTTTTAAAATTTAAATTAAAGTTTCCCAATGACGTACACAATTTATTTATAATTCGCAAGCAATTACAAAGTTATAAATTAGTTTCGTATTCTGATCAATGCATATTCCTAGAAAGTAGAAATTCCATTAAAATATACGACTGGCAGCAGAAGAACCTGACAGGCAAATATTTATTTATGGAATCGACGTTCGTTCGTCGCTAGCTATATTCAAAGTAGGCGATGAAATTATTGGGATGAAAAACTTTTTATCCCATCAAATGCGTCAAATCTTCTCTATAAATACTAGGGTCAATATTTACATTACGGAACCACTTAAATTTCACATGTGGTGGAATAGCGCTCTATATTTTGTAAAGCGATTGTAAATGTCTGCTAGAAAACTTATTTACAAAGTCTAAGTAAATATTTTATAGCTGCAAAAAATTAATTAACATTCCTTAATATAAATCGTATGTTTATGAACAAAAATATAATTTCGAAGGAATCAAGGTTTTAATAATTGAACTGTATATTTTTAAATATGATATTGCAGGAAACAACTACTCTGCGAGCTGATGCCCCGACCAGTATTGAATTAAACCTACAACAGTTAGGATCATTATTAAGCAGAAGTTATCAGACTTCGCACTTATTAATGACCTACCGATGAATAATTTAGCTATGTTTGATATCTTAATTATATCATGTACAACCTTTTAAAGGTAATATATTAACAGGACTAGGTACCGTGACTGCCATAAAAACGAGCTGTATTATTTATAGCTACGATTGTAGTTATCAAAATATATAAAATAGGAGAACGTACTCACCGAGCCAGCTCAGACTCTCCGAGGTCTCCAGTTTGTGCTTGAATCCCTCCACCTCCCTTTGAAGTTCCTCTACGGCCGGCGGTAAAGGAAGCTCCCACCTTAGCTGCCTCTCTATGGCCGAGACTCTCGCCTCCAAGGATTTCAGGTCTGCCCCCGTCGACTCCTGCAGCATCGCTAGACCATTCGCGGCCACAACTTGCAGGGAATAACGGGTATCCTGTGTAAACAGACACATGTGTTCAGGGAAATGTAATCGAGGGTTCGCAGAAATCAATATCACGCCAGCGAGCAAGACAATAACAGAAGTGTTTTTTCTGATGTGTAAATAATTAAAATTGTTTATTTTCGAGGAGAAAGGTACATAATAAGAACGACGTCAGCAATTATAGTAAAAGTGACATATTTTTATGTTTCAATTAAATAGAAGAAACCTAAATTATTTAATTGACATTGAGCGAATTATAATCATACAAAAATGTTTTTGTTTCTTCTAAACTTCGTGTTAAATTGAGAGAAGAATTAAAGGTACTATTTATTTATATTTTCAAAACAAAACAGGTTAAGAATCTCTCCAAAACTAAACAGTTATTTTGAAATTGAATAGAGCTAACGCAGATAATGTTACTTTGTCATTTTTGAAAAAGTTTGCAATTCTATTTATTAGATATTAGGTAAATTCAAATTAGTTTAAAAATACTCTTCTAAAAATTTTTATCAAATCAAGACAATCTTAAATTATTTAAGGACACAGGTACACAAAAAGTTCAAACTCAAGAGGCCTCATATCATTTCCGAAGGAATTGAATGCGCTGAACACGATCCTGTAGTCAAAATTCATGACTAACCGATGAAATTCGGAAAATAGTGAAATTTTTGGCTGAAAACGCCCAAACATGGGTCAAACCTGAGTTTTTCTAAATTTTGTCCAAATATATCGGTTTGGTATAATTTTGAGAAGCTGAACACGATGCTATTAGAAAAATTTACGCATGATCTCGATATATCTCAGAAAATCTACTGTTTGAGTGAAAACTGGTCCAAATATAGGTCAAAACTGATTTTTTCCTAAATTTTGTCCAAATACATAATTTCTGTAGTATTTTGAGACGCTGAACACGATACTATTAGTGAAATGTACCCATGATCTGGATATATCTCAGAAATTCCACTATTTGGGTGAAAACTGACCCAAATATAGACAGAACTAATTTTTTCCTAAATTTTGTCAAAATATCATTTTCCTAGTATTTTGGCCAGATTCACCCATATAATGGATTTTTTGAGAAATATCGACGTTATGAGTAAATTTTATTAATGGCATCGTGTTCAGCTTCTCAAAATGCTGCGAAAATGATATAGTTGAACAAAATTTAGAAAAAAAATCAGTTTTGACCCATATTTGGGCGTTTTCGCCAAAAAATTCAATTTTCTCCGAAATTCATAGGCAAGTCATGAATTTTGACCACAGGATCATGACATGTACAGAGCAACGAATTCGTTCGGAAATAATATGTGGGTCTCTTGGGTTTGGACTTCTTTTTGTGCGCCTGTGTCTGAAATAAAAAAAATATCTTCAATATCTGCAAATTTACGTCTTTTAATCCTTTCGTTGTATTTTGGTATGAGTTATTTCGTTTGATGTTTTCTTTATTTTCATTTTAGACGTTCGGAAAATTTTGTAAATTACTTTAATACCTTTAAACTAAAGTAAAAGTTCTCTGGGTATAAATTTGCCGGTTGGGTTAATTTTTGATAAAACACACTCTATATACAATGACGAAACAGTTTTTCATCTTGATAACTGAGACAGGTAGAAAAATGAAAATAAATCGATTTTGTTACATAAACATAAGTTTCCAAAATACACGGTGGTTAAATTGTGGGTAAGATATAACCTATAAAGCATATGTCCTGTCATCTTAACTGCTGTTGCTACTATGTCTGCTAGTATAAACATTTGTTTCATAAAGTAAAAAAAGCAAGCAGTTTCCCACAATGTCATTAGTTTATAAGGATGTTCAAGTTAAACCACGAAAAATTTTTAAAATATCTTTAAAATAGTTTAAGCCGGAGATTTTTTTTTAAATATAAATATTATTCATGTAAGTTTAATATGTTACTAGAGTATGTAAGGAAATAACAGGATGTTATATTTTTAGCTATCCCCATCCACTTGATCACCCACTAACAATTTGTGGTATTGTTATCTAGTTTTATTTCATCGATAAAAAATTCATTTTTAGAGATTTTTGTTTGAAATTTTGATATCCGATACTAATTTCAAGTAATACAGATAAATCTTGAGTTGAATAGACTAAAATACAGTGAACAAATTCTCGAGTGGGTACCCTGTATTTCTGTGCAGTCTACAGACTTTATCCATTGCATATATTAAAACTAATTTTCCACACCAACTAAGAAGTCTACATACAAAAACTGTTACATCCTGTACACTTATGCAGGCAATCAACAGTACCGGGTAGGAAAGTACCGATGGTCTATCTGAAGTTACGTGAGAGCGATAAAGTAAGCCATAGAAATCCATGTGATAGACAAGGATGGGTGTAGTGAAGGCGTCTAATAGTCACCGCCCATTTCGCCCTTCCACAAATAAGAAGTGGATCTTATTTGTGGAAGGGCGAAACGGGCGGTGACTATGAGACGCCTTCATTATAGCCATCCTTCTCTATCGCATGGATTTCTATGGCTTACTTTATCGCTCTCACGTAACTTCAGATAGACCATCGGTACTTCCCTACCCGATATGTGAGATACACAGTGCCTCTGCTGCATAAAAAATAATGTATATACAACCCTATATCTTAATACATTATAATATTTTTCACTTACGCTTTGTATGTAAAAGCATGTGATTTAAAAGCTTGTCGCGAGGTTTATTCCAAATTGGAATTTTTATTTTAAGGGGTAAGTTAAGGATATTATGCACCATAATAAATTTAGTTTTATTTTTGTATTCTTCTCAGCAAACTCTTTCATTTTTGATATCTACCCATAACATGGGGGTGCATAAAATATAACTGGTCCGCCATTTTTGGGAGTCAGCCATATCGGATTTAGAATGACGTTACTTAGCTAACCATGCACTGTCGTCCAAACTAAACGTGTATGCAAAATTTCAGCTCAATCGGTTGGGGATTTCCCACAAAGCGCCTACACCGGCCGCATTTGCGGTCGGGGTAGACGACGGATGGGGCCCACCTACGAAGGCTGTCCAGGCCTACACGAGATNAATTTGTGGTATTGTTATCTAGTTTTATTTCATCGATAAAAAATTCATTTTTAGAGATTTTTGTTTGAAATTTTGATATCCGATACTAATTTCAAGTAATACAGATAAATCTTGAGTTGAATAGACTAAAATACAGTGAACAAATTCTCGAGTGGGTACCCTGTATTTCTGTGCAGTCTACAAACTTTATCCATTGCATATATTAAAACTACACAAGAGACAGAACGTCTCTAAAAATGAATATTTTCCACACCAACTAAGAAGTCTACATACAAAAACTGTTACATCCTGTACACTTATGGAGACAATCAACAGTATGTGAGATACACAGTGCCTCTGCTGCATAAAAAATAATGTATATACAACCCTACATCTTAATACATTATAATATTTTTTACTTACGCTTCAATTTGTTTAGAAGTTAGGTACATATAAAAAATATTAATTATAGGCTTGGATCACCTGTAGAAGTTTGACAGTTGAATTACGAGAGATTTTGGGTATGTATAACTGTAATAAAAAAATCAGTTATTTCAGTCGAAGTAGGAATTCAAAGGAAATTATTTCACATAATAATAAATGAAAAGTGAAAAAATTAAAAACAAGCTTTTATGCACTAAAAAGAAAAAATAAACCAAGAATTTCATAAAACCCATAATGTGTAAACCCCAAACCCACAAAAAGGTTGAATATGGCTAGTCTATAGAAATGTCATCAGCAAAAGTATGCGATTTAAAAGCTAGTCGCGTGGTTTATTCCAAATTGGAATTTTTATTTTAAGGGGTAAGTTAAGGATATTATGCACCATAATGAATTTAGTGACGTCATTTTATTTTCGTATTCTTCTCAGCAAACCCTTTCATTTTTGATACCTACCCATATCATGGGAGTGCATAAAATACATATAACTGGTCCGCCATCTTTGGGAGTCAGCCAAATCGGATTTAGAATGACGTTACTTATGCACTGTCATCCAAACTAAACGTGTATGCAAAATTTCAGCTCAATCGGTTGGGGATAACTGTTTTAAAATTCAGTTGCAAGATTTGACCCATACTAACAAGGCAAGTTAAATAAAAGCTTGTCATAATAAAAATGAACATTAACATTGTACATGACATTGTAATGATAGTTATAACAAAACATAGGTACTTGCTTTCAATTTATCGTGAATACTTTGTCTCAGAAATTTAGGCAAAAATAGATACTTTAGTAAATTTAAACTCATTATCACTTTATTTTGAAGGTGCTAATTCAAATGAATTGAAAAATTCTTTTTTAAAATTGTATTATATAAAATTCAACAATATTCTTCGACGCCAAAAATGTAGGTATCCAAAAGATGTAAAATTAAAAAAAAATTAAAATGATGTAATATTAACTTTTTTGAAAGAAAATCCATATTGTGCTATAAAAAATGGATAGTGTTAAAATAAGTTCATATACTACAAAAAGCAGGACTGGTTAGAAGGCGAGAAAATGAACGAAAAAATTTAATATATCAGCTAAAAGCCCACATAAGTTTGAAGCAGGGCAAGATGGGGTATAACTAAAGAACTACTGAATATGCTTTATTTAAAATACTTCACATTTGAAATTAACCGAAATTATGATTCACCATGAACAACAACGTGTCAATACTTGTGAAATTGCATGATAATTATTGTAAGTTCTCCATTTGAAACATAACGAATTGAAAAATTTCCATCACGTAATCGAACATGTGCAGTCCGCATCTATAAGTGACATTAATATTCAAATGCAAAATATTTTTGTTGCATATATTGCACACAGATGTAGTAATTTGGACATTTTAAAATTAATGATGTTTCAGCGTTTAAATAATTTTACCAAATGTGTGAGCTAATAAATTAATAAGGTTGATTACTGTTATATCGAATATTCCACTTTTAATCTATAAATTCAAACAAGTAATAAAGGGTTTTTTAAGAAAACGAAATGGACTG